GGCATCGGTCGGCGGGGGGTGAGCATCGGTCGGCGGGTGGTGAGCAACTGCACTGGGCATCACTCATTTGCATATTCCATTATTACTGTTATAATTATTTTATTTCAATTAGTAAGTTGTTTTTATCTCAACCCATGAGTTTTCTTACTTTTACCCTTCCAGTTCTCTCCCCTATTCCCAGAGGGAAAAGGGAGGAGAGTGAGAGAGTGACTGTGTTTGGCTGCAGCCAAAGGAGTGAAACCACCACAAGCACCTTGGCCACAACCCCAGGAAACTCCAGCACTGAGAGCACTGCAGGGAGGTGCTGGTTGAGGTGAAAATCCCAAGGGGAAGGTGAGTGTTGAACGTGCAGCCGCGGGGACACCCTGCATGCAAAGGCTGTGCTGGGGGATGTGACCCAAGAGCTGGTTCTTGGAAAATGATGCTTTCAGACTTGGCATCTGAGCGCACAGAAAGATCTGATAGCAATACACTGAAAACAACTGCAGTTAAATTACCTTAAGACTGTTTGAGCTAAAAATATGAGCTGGAAGTTGCTTAAGAAAAACAAAACAGCAAAGAGACTGAGGGGAGACTCCAGTTGCAGCTGCCTGCTCTATCACCACTTCATAGCCAAGTGAAGGAGGGGGACAGAGAAGAGAGAGGACAAAATAAGAATTGGTGCTTATTAGCAATTTAATTCTTTGAATGGTTTCTGGGTGTCCTTGCAGTTGTTTGTCTCACACATGCACGCGCACACACAGGAGCTTCTGAAGTATTTCAAATTAAGCGCAGCTGTGATCCCATTGGACTTGCTGGGTCCCTTGCACCAAAGCTGAGTGCAGAATGGCTCTGTGGGAAGAGACGGGCACAGGGTGATCTGCAGCTTTCCTGGAAATAAAGCGAGCTGAGAGTTCAGCCAAAGGAGCCAGGTTTATATAGCTAGATCCACGACGGATGCCAAGCCCTCTTGGAATTATATTTGGGAGGAGAGAGAAGAGGTGGGAATGTTTTAATCCTGTTACTACCAGAAGTGCTATTCCAGGAAAACCATCTCACATTCTGCTCGCAGCCTGCCAGAGGGAGCAGCTGAATGAGAGGTGGGCGAGAGGAGCGCTACAGGGGTCAGCCACAAGCTGTCAGTTGTTACACTGGACTAGTCCAGTGGCAATTCCAGTCCACAGGAAAGTTTCCCATATTTTTTAATGGATCTGGTGATTCAGGACACATGTAAAAATACTAAATTAAGTTTCTCTTATCTTACTGAGGTAGATACCGAGGGGCAGTGACAATCCCTAGTAGCTGGTACTGATCGCTGGGAAAACAACTCTTCTCCCACCAACCAATTAACTGAACACTTCTCCCTATACAGATTTACTAACACAATGATGCTCTAAATATTATAACTAATATGTGGAATAATAAAAACTATATTAATATGTGGAATATTCCATTTCATTAGAAAAGCCACATCCCCCTTCCTTCCTGCCCCCAGCACTGCCCCAGCGGGTGTTGTTACACACCAGCCCCAGTACCGCAGGGCCATCGTCCTTATCTGAATTTCAGTTGCGATGACGCAAAGGAGCGTCAGACAGTTGTGTCCTGAAACACCTCAATGTGTCCCCTGCAAGACAAGGGAGGCCAGCTGCTCCACCTCTGCTGGCTCATCCTCTGATCCTTCTGCAGCAGCTACAAGGTGCAAGTTCCCGTTACTTGTGGGAAAAGCTGTGAGGGCAGCTGCTAGTTCACAGTCTGTTTTCAAGCGATGTCAAATCGGCTTCACATCAACTTATTCACACAGGAAGATTGTTCACTTAAACTGGCTGGTGGGGGTACCAGTCATGCTCGACTCCAAAATAACCCAGTATCTAAGCCTCTACTGCCTTGCACTCTTGGGCTGCTCACCACCATATATAAATCTATTTTTTAAAGCCTAAAATGAGATATAGGTCACCCATTTCCAAGAGAAGTGAGAAGAGAGAAGAGCTACTACAAGGAGAGCTCAAAGGAACTACAGCTCATCACAAGCTTTGTCACCTTCTACTCAGAAGGCACATTCCCCTAAAGTACCCCTTTCTAACCCAAAAAACATTCAAGCTGTATACATTTATAACTGTATACAAACCCCTCCAGCCACAGCAGCCTGCTACTCCTCTGTCTGGAAAAGGAGAGGAGCTGAAGATCCATCACCTACAACTGATGTTAGTCAGGTGGCTGGGAAGACCCTTAACCATTGGTAAGAGCTCTGAGATGAAACAGAAAGGCATAAGGACAAGGATCACCACAAAGGTTTAACACAAAGGAGGGGTGGAAGTGGGGAAGAAGAACCTCTTCAGAGCTGCATCTTCAGCAGCAGGGCTTTGGCATCAAGGGCACCACGATGCTCACTTGTTGACGACAGACCACATGGATGTCCCTTTGCCAGCCAGCAAAAGGACAGTTGAG